ACCAACCGTTTCTTCCCTCTCTGGCTCCCTTTCTCATCATCCTTTCCAAACACATAAGCAATTTTCACTCAAAAACCAAAAAATAAAAATAGAAGCAGAATTTCTAGAAAAAATAACAAAATTGAACAATTTCAAGCAAGCAAGCAAAATTTCAAATAGAAGCAATTTCAAGCATGCAAGCAAAATTAAACAATTTCAAATAGAAGCAAGCTAGCAATATTTCAATTTTAGCAATTTCAGCACAAAAAAAATAGAAAATAAACACAATGAAGTCAAAAAAACAAAATACCTGACAAAAATTGTATTTTGTAGGGTTGATCTTCTTTGTATTCTTTGGATGATCTTCTTCATGTTCTTCATTAGGGTTTCGATCACTGAGGACGAAGGGATTTCTTCATTGAGGACAAATTAATGAGTGCAAGGGAGAGAGATGAAGATAGGTAGAGAGACAGAGATGGGTTTTGAGTTTCTCAAATGATTTAGGGTTTAAGATTTGAAGGCTGAGAGAGAGAGAGAGCGTTTCATGGTCAAAAAATAGAGGGAAGAAATAGAAGAGAAAGGAAAGATGGAAGACAAATAGATAGAGAGGGGTAGAAAAACAGAGTAAGAGAGAGAGAGAGAGAGGTTCATTATTAGATCGGTGACGAGTGAGAGAAACCTGAAGAGAAAGAGAAACAGAGAAGTGAAAGTCAGTGATTGGTGATGAGGTGATCGGTGGTCAGTGATGAGTGAAAGAAAGCTGAAGAGAAAGAAAAACAAATAGGTGAGAGAGAAAGAGAGAGAGAGAGAGAGAGAGAGAGAGAGAGTTGACTTGGGAAGAGTGTAAAGGGAAGAGAAGATTCCAGAGGGTTAATCTGGATCGTTGGATTAATCCAACAGGGCTCTTTTGTCATTGGAATGCACAAATTGAGCAACGACTCTTTTTCTTCTTCCAATTCAGAAAAGTTTAAAATGACTCTTTTTAATGGCTCTTTTTTTCCCTCTAATTCAAAAAAAAAGGTCATGTGTTTACTCTTTATAAATATAAACAACCAATCTCAATTTGAATTCACAACTTTCAATCTACATAAATTTTTGTTTGTTTGTTTACATAATCAGTATGGAAGGTTCATCAAAAACAAAGAAACGAAAATCATTCACCACTCAAGAAGATGTGGCAATTTGTAGAGTTTGGTGTCACATTACTAAAGACCCAATTCTTGGGAATTCGCAATCTCATGCTCATTTTTTGGGAAGAATTTTTGAAAATTATTACTTCCTGCAGAATGATCACTCAAGAACACAAGTTTCCATCTCATCTCGATTGGGTGTAATCATGAAATGTTGCAATAAATTTCATGGGTGTTTAGTGCAAATCGAAAATCTATACCCAAGTAGGATGTCTCAAGTTGATATAGTAAGATTTCATCTTCATTTATTATGTTAGTTTTTTTTTTTATTTTGTCTTACATAAAAATTAACTAATTAATTAATTTAATATTTTATTGATACAGATGCTTCAAGCAAAACTGTTATACCATCAAGATGAAAACAAACATTTTGCTTTTGAACATTATTGGTCAATCTTGCAAAACAATATCAGGTGACATGATATAACTCCTACAAACACAATGAAGTTAAGGATACATACATCGTTTTCCCTTAATTCAGCCCCCGATTCCTCTATGGATAACTGCATTTCTCTTGGAGACGACAACAGTCCAAGTGTTGGTAACAATCCAACTGTTAGTAATAATCCAATCTGTGAGGATAGTGTCTCTGTAAGGGGTAAAAGGCCTATGGGTAGAAAAGCTTCAAAATAATTGTTTATGAGAAATGAAGTCGTTGAAGCTGAAGTCTACAAATTTAGCAATGTTTTTGAGACATTTAACCAACACTTTGCTGAGAAGGAAATGAAAAAAGCTAAAAGAGAAGAAAAAAAGGATTCAAACATTGTAGGAGATGAAAGAATTTGGGATCAAAAGATAAGAACATGAGATTAAAAAGGAAAAACATTTGATAATGACTACGGATATTTCTCATTTGGACCTTTAGACAAAAGTGTATTACATAATGCGAAAAAATGAGATTTTTGCCAAGGGGTCCGCAAATGTCAGCAACCCAAATTACTATTTTCTCCTACCTACTAATGAATAATTATGAGAGAGTATTTTTTAATTTTGCAATGTCATTTATTTTTTAATGTAATTTTTAATCTTTATTTGCAATGTAATTTTTATGTTCCAATGTAATTTTTATGTATTTAAATTTATTTTTTCAATTTCATTTTTCATTTTTTATATTTGTCTAATCGAGTATAATATAAATATATAGGACTTGTTTGGTTTGTATCTCAAGACACAATTTTTCAAAAAAAATTTCCAAAATTACTTTCTCTCTCCTACACATCAAGCAATCACTTTTTCTCTCTCTTCTCTCATTCTCAATCAATTTTTCTCTCACACACATTTACTCAACTACAACAAAATATCAAATCATTCCAAACTCCAAAACTATTTTTAAAAGGGAATTTTTTTTTAAGGTCCCTAGTATTAAGATTTTATAGCATAAAGGACACTCAATATTTTCATAATATCTAAGATCCCTCAACATCGATCCAGAGAAAATTCGATCCAGAGAAAATTTGTTCCAAAGAATTTCTCTGGACAAATCACAAAGAAAATTTCAAATTTCTCTGGACACATCACAGAGAAAATTCCAAATTTCTCTAGACAACAATGAGGACTAGTGCTCTGTTTTAGAGAAAATTGGGTTGGTCCAAAGAAATTCTTTGGTTTTGGACTGGACTAGTGCTCTGCTTCAGAGAAAATTGGGTTAGTCTAGAGAAATTCTCTGATTTGGATTCAATTTTTTCTGGATTGAACTCAATTTTCTCTAGGTAGTAGTTTTGGTCATATTGATCGTTTTTTAGTTCTCAAATTATAATCAAGACACTTCATAATGAAGTGTAGCATATTAAGTAGGGATTAAATGTGATGATAGTGTTATTCATCGAACTTCCTATAATTGCTTAGTGGGATCTTTATGAAGTTAAATGGAGTAGGAAAAAACTAAAATACCGATTAGCTGTTACATTGAGAAATGGAAGACAATTAGTGGGTGAAAAATGAATACTTTCATATGATGTCAAACCTTTCTCACTTTATTATCTGCCTTGCCAAAGTTGTATATGAACACATGTATAGACATTGTAATTAGAAATAATGCATTGCTATAAGGTTGAAGTTGTATCAACTGATGAGGGAATGAGTTTTTATTTATTTATTTGTGATGAGCAATATTCTAATTAAAGCACAGAATATGAGGGGAAGGGAAAGAAGAGCATAAATTATTTCTTTTATCTTTTAGATTGAAATCTAACAGTTCACACCTTTAAAATTCTATGCCATCATTAATTGCTATTGTGTTATGATGGGTCTGGTGTAAATTATGCATAGCTAATCATGGTAATAAGTAGATAGATGTATGTCATGTGTGCACAAATATATTTGTTTATGATACTTACAGTAAATGAATTAAAAAATTTATTTTAGTCTTGGTAACTAAATTTGGGAAAGAAATGTAGTAACTTGAACATGGAATGTGGAATCACACTTCATTATGCACTTTTTTTCTCCATACCAGGTGGCCTCAAACTACTATTCCTAAATTCAAAATTATCACTTCCGAATGTTTGCGAAAGGTCCAAATTGGTGAACAGATATCATTAGTGAAGTATGTTATACTTTATAATATTTTGCTTATCCAAAGAAAATTAGTTCCAGAGAATTTCTCTGGACAAATCACAGAGAAAATTCCAAATTTCTCTGGACAACAATGAGGACTAGTGCTCTGCTTCAAAAAAAATTGGATTGGTCTGGAGAAATTCTCTGGTTTGGACTGAATTTTCTCTTGGTTGAACTCAATTTTCTCTGGGTTGGTCCAGAGAAATTCTTTGGTTTTGGACTGGACTAGTGCTTTGCTTTAGAGAAAATTGGGTTGGTCCAGAGAAATTCTCTGGTTTGGATTGAATTTTCTCTAGGTTGAACTCAATTTTCTCTGGGTTGGTCTAGAGAAATTTTCTGGTTTGGTCTAGAGAAATTCTCTAATTTAGATTGAAATTTATCTGGATTAATTTGAGGAATCTTAAACATTCTCTCCTTAGCATTTCATCAAACACCTTCTTTGCTAAATTTATGTCCCCAACTCTGTACATATTTTGCATATTTTCAAAACAAGCTTGTGCAGAATCAGAATCAAGTATTTTCTTTGATGAAATATGATCATTTGTTCAAATTTGGAAAATAATATAACAAAATTATTTTGAGGGACCAAAAGGACTGAGAGATTTGGAATTATTCATAAAGCGGTAAGAAAGCCCAAACCCTAGCTGGTTCTCACTCCTCTTCGCACTCTTCTTCTCTCACTACCGCTGTTGTCTCCTCTCTTCCTCCTCTTCTTCTTCCGACGGCGCCGGGAAAGAAGGTGAGAACAATTTCAAATACTATCGCAAAATTTGGTTCTGTCATTTATGTGGTCTCTATTCTGGATTTGTTTGTATATTTTGCTGAAGATCAGAAAGAGAGAAAGAGAGAGAGAGTCAAATTTCTCTAATCTGATATATGGGTGTGTGTTTAAGAACCTTAGACATCAAAAAATAATATTGTGGAGCTCTTCCATTACTAAAAATAGGAGAGAGACCTTAGATTAATTTTCCTTTTTTAAAATATACAACCAAACAAACCAAAAAAATTTCTAAACTCTCTACTCAAATTTTTTTTTTTTTTTGAAAATTTATCTCAAAATACAAACCAAACCTACCTATAATTTTTTATTTTTTTACAAACAGATAACAAAATGTCACAAAAGATTAAAAAATAAATTAAAAAATCATGAAAAAAATTATATCCAAATAATATCTACAAATTTAAAAGGAAATTAATTGAAATTTGTTAAAATAGCATGTGTATTATCACAACACCACTGTTATAATTTGGTAAATTACTATCATTCATTATCAAAATATAGGCATAGCAATGCTCTCATAGCAAATACATTGGAGATGCTCTCATGAGTTATAACTAGAGAGAGAATGAGTGGAGGAGGAGAAGGGAAGGTGGTGTGTGTGACGGGTGCTTCAGGTTACATAGCATCATGGCTGGTGAAGCTCTTGCTTCTCCGGGGTTACACCGTCAGAGCTTCTGTTCGTAACCCAAGTCAATCTCTCTCTCTCTCTCTCTCTCTCTCTCTTCTGGAATCCCTTGATTTTGACTTTACGTTCCAAAATTTTCTTCCTATTATGTATAATCAAAGAGTCTCTCTTTGATTACTAGCCCAAAAAAAAAAATTATGTAGACCCTGTTATCTTTTGTGATTCTCTGTTTCACTAACAAGTAACAAAGCTGTTTTCCATCTTTCAATCATGTATGTATGTGTGTGTGTGTATATGACAACATTTTGCAGATATAATCGCTTATTAGCAGCTTGCTTGCTTGTATTTTGCTGAAGATCATGACCCTTGATCTCATCTCAATCCAAACTTGTTGCTACGGTCTGGTAATTCAACAAACAATTGGTGAATGGCCCAGCACAAGACTAGGTCCTTTTTTGAAGAGCGAAACAGAATTTCACCCAATTAACCTTTTTGATTACAATATGCTTCATTTCCACTATGAAACTTGGGACTTTAAATAGAATCATATCAGTATGCTGCATATCATGTACATTATAGACTTGTCTTTAAGAATACCTGCAATATGCTCAATTCTCAATTCGATGTGTGGGAATGGGAAAAAGCTCATGATTGAGGTAAGGTATCCATATTTATTATTATTATTATTATTTTGCACTACACACGGCTTTCATTGTTCAATGACGGGGATGAATTTATATAATTGTCTTCAACTTAGCTTAAATTAGCTTAAAATGATGGTGGGTGACTCACAAAAAAAAAATTATCAAAACAAATTTTGTTATTCAAAAAAATAATGCTCTTGAGTTGAACTATTTCTAAAATATTTCAAAAAAAGATGTGGTTATTTTTTTTTATCCCATCTATTATTTTTTCCACATTTATGGTTGGTTTGGCATCACCTATAAAAGTCAAAATGTCAAAAAGTCACTAAAAAAGCAAAAAAAATCATACTATTCACCTTTATTTTGGCTGGAAATCTGTCGGATGAAAAAAAAAAACAGTGCTGCCACAAAACAGTGCAGCCACAACTTCCCATAAAAAAACAAAAAGTAGACGTGGAACTTAGCTTAAATTAGCTTAAAATGATGGTGGGTGACTCACAAAAAAAAATTATCAAAACAAATTTTGTTATTCAAAAAAATAATGCTCTTGAGTTGAACTATTTCTAAAATATTTCAAAAAAAGATGTGGTTATTTTTTTTTATCCCATCTATTATTTTTTCCACATTTATGGTTGGTTTGGCATCACCTATAAAAGTCAAAATGTCAAAAAGTCACTAAAAAAGCAAAAAAATTCATACTATTCACCTTTATTTTGGCTGGAAATCTGTCGGATGAAAAAAAAAAAACAGTGCTGCCACAAAACAGTGCAGCCACAACTTCCCATAAAAAAACAAAAAGAAGACGTGGCACAATTGAAGCCACACATTCCCATAAAAAAAATAAAAAAATAAAAATTGAAAAGAGATAGAAAGTCAGCACAGTGTTGCTGACTGTGTCAGGGAGGGTAATTTAGTAATTTTGATATTTGCTACAATATTTTATTACACATTTTTTCATAAAAAATAAAAAAAATATCCCTAACATACATATTTTTTTTCTCTACTTTTTTAGTAAAAAAGTCAAAAAGTATACTTTTTTAGTTTACCCCAAACATTCACTTAATGCTGACGAAAGGAGAATGGTCTGCAATGTAAGAGAAAATGTAAAAGAACAAGTACTTTTTTTATGTGTGTGTGATTAGCATCCAGTTCTTAACTTGATAGCTTGCACGATATAGTGACAGCAACTCAGAGTCATAGTATAAGCTCATTTAATTTTGTGCATGAAAAACATTTCTGAGAACAGTAATTGGATTATTGAAAAGTTCTCTTTTGCTGTGTGACTTGTCTTTTATTTCGTGTGTGTTTACCTCAATTCAGATACAACTTGGTTCTACTTGTCCCACTTGATAAGATCCCCAATCAATATTAGCATGATTTAAATGAATGTTACCTGAATACATCAAAAGCAACTTTGATCCTCAGGCTTCACTAAAACTTTGTCTTGGCTTTGATGAGCCACTTCCCAATGGTCCCCTGTATCATCTCCTTGTTGGTAATCTTATAATTCAAACTCTTGGCAACATAGATATATATATATATATATATGTATTGTACATTTTGTAGATATGGTTGCACGTCTGCATCCTTCACGTTACAACCTTGTGAACATTTGTTATCTGGCATGCTAAATTATGCGGTTCCTTTTATCTTCTTTGTCTGAGTTATGTGTGCTTGATTGCAATGACCATGATGATGTTAGTTGTTACCCATTGAAATTTTACAACTGCTGCTTTGTTTTCTTGAATACCTTCTGCATTTCTTGGGAACCTAATGGAGCAAGACTTTGTATTAATTTTAAGCGAATGCTGTAGTTTTCTATTTTTCTTACAGAGTGGGAATGTAATAATTTTCATTCTGCACCTTCAAACGATAAATTTTTGTAATAAAGTAGTTCCAAGTATCACTTTCTTTCACCACAGAACCACAATTGTTATTATCTTACCCAGCTTGAATATCACTTTGATACATCGCTAACTTTGGAAATCCAATTTTGCAGTTCAACAAATAAATCTAAAGTTTGTTGCTACATTTCTCATATATATAAAGTAACCAAATGTATGGTTTAGATAACTCCTTATAGTTTTTATTATTCTAGAGTATGTATTAAGGGGGCATGTAATCTATTTTTCTCAGGTACAATTTCAAATGATATGCTTTCATGCAGCATGTTATCTTTGCATATTTTCCCAAATACCCAATCATATTCCTTCATTTGGTAAAATGAAATTCAACCCCATATGAGGTGGTTACTTTTCACAGAATCAGCAACATGTACATCATGTCAGTACGTGTGTACTATTTTCCGATGTGCTTCTATGGCAGACGAAGTAGTATGCAATATGCGATGAGAAACCTTGAAGCATAGCAATGCTGACTTTGTGGGGTCTCTATTTTAATGAACTTTCACAATGCTGTCATATGTATGAACTTAGGATGATATGCCATTCAATAAAATCTCTCTCTAAGGCAGTCATGACACATCTGTCATGTTGGTCCTTGTGGAACAGATGACCCAAAAAAGACTGAACACTTGCTTGCACTTGATGGAGCTAAGGAGAGACTTCATTTGTTTCAAGCAGACTTACTGGTGGAAGGATCATTTGATCCAATAATAGATGGATGCGAAGGTGTTTTTCACACAGCATCTCCTGTTCATTTTTCAGTGACTGACCCACAGGTATGTATTGTATTACGTTATTAACACTGTAAATTTAGGATGTCAACACATTTTTACAACGAACCACCAATCTTGTAATTATTAACACTTTTAAGTTGATTTATCCATGTGATAGAATAGAAGATGCCAAGCAGTCAGAGAAAAAGCCAAAGGAAAACTACAAAATTTCAATTTTGTTTAGGTTAGGGCCTACTTGGGATCTCAGGTACTCCAGGGGCTCTGGTGCTTTTCCACTGCACCACTGGTCTTTATTTGTATTTATTTTCTAAATTAATTTGCTGGACATATCAATTAATCTTTTGGTTTCTAGAGTCATGTTCAGGCCAGGCTGAAACTACATAATAACATAAAATGTAGTCGCCCACTCCTGAAATCAGGCTTGAGCTTAATTTCCTAAGCTCAGCCCAAAAGGAATTGAAAATGCTAATGATGCAAATTTAACCCAAAACTACTTAAAAAATAAGAAAAATTTTGTAAAAATTTTGATACAAATGATAGTTAGATTAAGTGGCTTGGCTATGAATTTAGTGGTTCACATCTTTGAACTAGTCCTTTTAGCCAAGGTTAAAATCGGGATCCAGGGACTAATGGATCGGATCGTAGAATCGGATCGAGAATCATAAAATCTTACTTTTAATGCAAAATAAAATGAAAAATTATTGATAATGATAAACTTTATTACATAATTTTAAAAAGATTAAAGAAAATTGATAAATTTGATATAATGTATATTCTATGTTAACATAAAGACATTTGAAAAATGAGTTTATAGTCAAATTTTTTATATAGATATACACATATATATAAGAAATAAATAGTAACAAAAAAAATTGGTAGGATTGGGATTGAAGTAGAATTGGGATCGTATGCGATTCTACATCATTTTATGACTAGGATCGTAGTGACTTTAAGATCGTACTAAATTTAAGATGCTAGTGGGATCCGGATCGTTTGGCCCAACTAAGATCATAGAATCGTAAGATCCTACGATCCGGATTGGGATTCTAATAACCATGCTTTTATCATAAATCAACTGGTGGTGGCAGTGGTGGTAGTGGTAGTGATGGTACGGTGGAGGTGATGGTGGTTATTGAGAAAGTGACGAATAGAGTGGTGGTGATGATAGTTGTGTGGTTGTGGTGGTGGTGGTGGTGGTTGTTTGTGTGGTGATGAGGTAGTGCTAGCGACCGTGATGGTGGAGTGTAGAGGTGGCGACGATGATGATGGTGGTAATGGAATCATGGCAGCAAACCTCAACAATGCTATAAGCTTATGTGAGTGGGTTAGATCACCACTAGTACCAAAACCTTAAGCTATTAAGAAATGGGCACAACAAAATATATCTACCCTCCCTTATGTGCAATCTCGTCTTGCATATGAAGATGCAAATATCCATATATATACGGAGAAGAAAGAATGTAAATGGGAACCAAATGCAAAAGAAAGACTTGAACTCAAGACCTCCCTCAACTTGAGCTTTGATACCATGTTAGATCACCACTAGTCCCAAAAGCGTAAACTATTAAGAAATGGGCCAAACAATATATCCATCTCTCTAACAATTTGAAATTCAGCATAACTAAGAAGTCCGTTATTTAAAAAATTAAAAATTTAGCCTATTTTTACTGTTACTTCAAATTAAAAAGCGTGGTTGTCAAATGCACTTATTTTTTTTCACTGAATACTTTCAGTTTTATGTGTTGAGTTGAGTTGTCAAACAGCTCCTTAGCACTAGTGGAAGCAAGAAGGAGATTATGCCATGTGATTAACAATGTAATGCTTATACTTGATAGGAGTTAATCTTATAAGAATTTGGTATTTTGTTTTTTGCTTTTTCAAATTTTCTTAGTGACATAAATTATTAAAGGGTCAACTGTAGTTTTTTTCTCTCCATGGATTCTATATTTTGTCTCTAGCAGTCACATGTTCCCCATGTCTTCTGTTGCTTTTATTATAGTCTTGAAAATTTTGCTCCCTTGTGTGAAAGATTTGTCCCCTTGTCTCTCTCTCTCCATTATTTTGAAATGGTTCTGCTATTTCTGTTCCAAGAGAAACAAAAAACATCCAATATTTTCAAGGATTCCATTTCTAATCGCTTAGGGGCAGGGTTGTTCATGAGATCAATTACAGTTCATGCATAATAAAGTAGGATGCAACAGATTTCTAATGTGTAATGCATGATGAATTATCATTTGTTCACTGTCAACTTATTAGTCTAATGGGACTTATCTTTTGTTTTTGCTTCATATTTCAGGTAGAACTAATTGATCCTGCATTGAAGGGAACAGTTAATGTGTTACGATCATGTGCAAAAGTTCCATCTATCAAAAGAGTGGTTCTAACATCTTCTACGGCTGCGGTCATTTGCAACCGAAAGATGCTAACTCCTGGTTTACATGTGGATGAAACTTGGTTTTCTGATCCATTGTTTTGCAAGGAGTCAAAGGTGTGTACATGTGCTACTTTCTGAGTTTCTGATCATCATTTCTTTGCAATTGCTTATGAAAATAAAGCTTGTAGGAATTCTACTTGTATTTCAATGTGATGATGTGAAACACTTCAGAACATCACCTGGTCAGTTTGGTGTACTTGTGAGCTGGAGCCAGGATTTGATCATGTATATAGCGGGATACTTTCATTTTTGGTTTTCATTACTGTTACTTTACGATCAGAAACAACTGTTTACAACATGGCCATTCTCTTTCTTGGTCACATTTTGAAATGTTGACTGACATGATCTGACTTGATAATATGAATATAACCATTAGTAAATATCATTTTTCTGATGCTTCATAATTCATATGTTGGAGAATGTGGTACTTGGACTTGACAATCTTTGCATTGAGATTACTAGAAGTAGAAAAGTAGCAACAATGACATTATGTATTACAGTCGAGTTTGTAGCAATGCACATATTCTATGGTATTTGTGTAACTTTAACACGTCTCTATTAATAACTAAGGTATGTATACATATTTTAGATCCGTTGATGGATGCACTTGCATTATACCACCCATGAAGTGCCTTTGACATTTTGAAATTTACACTTCTCAAAGTACACTTAAAATCTTACTTCTTACCATACTTTCTAAGCTTTCTTCTAGACACAGGAACTGTAAACTAATAACAGGGTCCAACCCAGGAGTGATGCTTGTTTTGAATTGATCTAAATTTTGGGTTATTTGCATGTTAGTGTCAGTTATATGTTGGTTAAAATCAGATTACATTGGCATTCAAAAGAGACTTTTGATTTGATGTTATTCAAATTATTGGTTTCATCAGCTTTGGTATCAGCTTTCAAAGACGTTGGCAGAGGAGGCTGCTTGGAAATTTGCAAAAGAGAATGGGATTGACTTGACTGTGATTAATCCAGGATGGGTGTTTGGTCCTCTCTTACAACCTACTCTTAACGCAACTGTGGAGGTAGTTCTCAATGTCATAAATGGTAATCTTCAGCTACCCATGAGAATAATGCTTATGTTCTTCTTCTTCTTCTTCTTCTGCTTCTTCTTCTTTTTTATTTTTAAAATTGAATATTCTCACTTACTTTAACTCGATAATTAAGTTGGTCCCTCTATCGTTCCTTCAGAAAAAAATAAAATTAAATTAAAATTAACAAGGCATTTACAAATCCAGCCAATGAGGAAAAGAAAAGAAAAGAAAAGAAAAGGATGTTGTGGGATTCCTTGATTTATATACACATAATTAAATTATAAAAAAAAAAAAAAAAGTATGTATAGAAAGTCAAAGTCATGATCCCGTCCCTTCAACTTTCAGTCCATTGACTAACAAGGGGAATTGGAACAAAAACTTCACGGAAAGGAAAAGTAAACCTTCCCTGAAGCTGAAAGCAGCTAGAGCAAGATTGACCAAGTACCAATAGTGCCTTGCCCAAAGCTACCAAAGAAAGTGGAACTGTCAAGACATCTAGTTTATCTAATGAACATTGAATATATGTATCAAAACTCACACATCAAGAATTACTGTGTTGATTCTTACCGGTTTCATTAATATACATTATCTGTGATAAAGTTGTTGCCTGCCTTTTGCTCTAATAGCTTCTTCAAGTTTTTACTAGCTTTTAGCTTTAAAAAAACGGCTTTTATAAGAGGGATTTTTTAGGCTGCTTCCAAATGAGACCTAAGTTTCTCCTTGTGTAGAGAGAAGTATTGAGGTCTGGTTAGAGCAGACAGAAAGTAAGAGGAAAAGCTTTGATCAAATTGACAAATTTTATTACGAATTGCAAATGTTTATGTTAATTCTGTTATTTGTGAAGTTATAGCTCCCCCAGATAGTGTCTGCCCTGTGACTCAATCTGAATTTCATCTTGGAAAATAGAATGGCTTAGTGCCACCTAACAATGTCAGCCACAAGTTGTAACAGAATCCTTAGATTTCTTATTGTGAAAGACGGTGCTTAGTACTATCAGAACTTTCTTTCCTTCATGACCTGTTAACCATAGTCTCACTTTGGAAATAACATCTTGTTGACGTTCAACCATCATGATTCTACTTTTGGAACTTTGTTGAGCACCCTTCTTTAGTCCTAGCTTTCTACTCACTACTAGCTTCCTCTTTGATGTTAGAATTTTAGACTACCATGTTGTATGGGAATGAATTATAGAATCAAAAAATTGATATTATCTTCGTCAACTCAACTTAATGCCACAAACCTTAAACCAAGCTACTTAGACCTATAGTCATTCTCAGATCCACATTCTTTGTCATCTTCCTCGTCCTTTTGGAAACTTCAGCGTGGATCAAATTACTCTCTGTGCTTGTGCATTGGCCTGTCTACAATGCATATGGCCAAACCATCTCCAATGAGTATTTCTCATTCCAATTTGAATTGATGCCTTTGACTCCACTTCCAACATCACATGTATGCATCTTTTAATTATTGTATCTTCTCTCGAATTGCTTCTCTTTGGTCTCAACATACTGATTTCAGTTATGCTCATTTCCTGAACATGTTAATTCTTATTTTCCCAACATTCTATAGAATAAGCATTATATGTTCCTATACATGTTTTGTGGCACATTCCCTTACTTGGCAGGAACAGTATAATCACTCAACTTTCTATAAGCACTTCGATTTACGTTACATTCATTCTACACCAACCAACACCCTCGATTCGTCCAAAATTCACCTTTTTGGTTGGACAATTCAATGAATAGTTTAAATTAAATTTTGAACAAGCCAAAATCTGGGCCATATAACGATAGTGCAAGTTTGGGCGTCACTAGCACAATGTTCGTTTTTAGATTCTATATTAAAGAAGAATATGTTTAGGTGTAAAGAGACTTTATTTAAGGGGAATTATGCATCAAATATAGTAATCACATGATGTATCAGATGAATCTTGCTCCCTTCAAGGTATGTTATAGATTGGGACAGCTGGTGGAGGTTTATCGATGAATGTAGTTTTGCTTTCTGATATACCAGGAAAAAGGAAAAGAAAAAGATGAATGTTATTTGGAGTTTCTTATGGTGTTGGGTTGAGGATGGCATTAAGAAAGGATGGGTGGCATTCTTGAAGTATGTCTACTTCTGAGTAAGAAATGGCAAGGGAATAAGCTTTTATCTGGTGTGTGCTTGTAGCTACCAAGCTGTTCCCTGATCTTTATGGCATTTCCATTAACAAAGATGCATCTATAGTAGATTACATAACCTATCAGCAAGTGCAGTGACATTGGATTTGTGGTTCTCTAAGGCAATTTACAATTGGGAGCTAGAGTTGGTGCTTGCCCGATTGTACAGTTTGGCATGTTTAGCATTCCTGTATATAATGATAGGGAGGATAATCGAAATACAAGATTTAGTGGTTGTTTTATAATGTTTTTTGCAGCAATGATGTCAGATTTTCCTCGGGCATAGGCATGCCAAAGTTTTTCAAAGGTGTCTTTCTTTGCATGTATAGAACACCATTAGATGCAAGCTTAACAGTTCACAATTTGATGAGGGGAAATGTTCTCCCTAAATGATATTTAATGTGCAATTTGTTGCATTTTAGAATGGCTAAACTGCGAAGCACCAGTTATGCCTGGCCTGTTAGCATTAAGCTTTTGGTAAATTTCTCTGCTTCCACTTTGTTGAAATTAGAATGGCTTATATTTTTGCAGTGAAATTCAGTGAGATTATGGGCAGGGGAGATAAAATGTTTTTCCACACTTAACTCCATTTACCCAAGATACCTTTCATACTAGTTGCATGATATTTTCACAAGTACTCTTTAATTACACAGATGGAGAAATGTCTAGAATTAGTTCATAACACCACTCTATTAGATTTGCTTTCCTGCCATACCACCTTAAAGTTTTACATAGTGGACTTTTGGCAAGAAGTGGAAGAAAAGAGTAAAACTTCACTCTGTTATTACATGCTTAAGTCAACTTCATAAGAGGAGTACATACATTTACATCATCTGAACAACATTCACTCTTCACAAGATCACCCTTCAACTACAAGATTAAATATATTTCTAGAGACTACCCAGTGACACAAACCCAAGACTAATATATTTCTAGACTACCCTATTGACACAAGCTTAGGACTTTCTAGAACTAAAATATAATTTACATAAATCCAAATTTACGTGGGAGGTGAGTTTGCATGGCAATGATATTGAGTGTTTGGACGATTGGAACACACTTTCATTCAGAGGTGTAGAGATTCTTGCATGTAAGTTGAAGCTGTTGATGCTAAGTACCCAGTGCTTATAGTCTTGTGGAAGTCTATCTTTTGTGTCAGATGATTGGGTAGATTTCCTTGGAGAAATAAGTTTATTGTCTGATGCTTAGCTTTTGTGTGCTGCTATCGCACATTGCATGATTGGGTTTCCTCCTTTTGGCACATCTTCAACTGATTTTCTTATCAACTAAAAGCAAAAGAAAAACCAAGCATTAGAATGGATCAATAGTAGCTTCTATTTTTGGTGCATGTATTGTCCAGAAGGAATTTATTTTCATCATTAAAGTTGCATTTCTTGCAATAATGACCTTTCTAATATACATACAAACATTACTTTTTGAAAATGCCTTTTAATTTGCAATTGCAACTGAGAAGAAGAAGAAGAAGAAGAAGAAATTGTATTCTTTGAAATGGCTATCCTCAGTCAAGTGAAAATACAGTAAATTAGGTATAGACCTAACCTTTGACTTAATTTGCACAAAGTTTCTGCTCTCATTTCAAACCCACAACCTCAAGGTTTGCTAAGATGAGTGAAAATACAGTCCATGCAAAAATCATGGCCCAAGGTTTTTTGATAATGCCCAAAGGTCAACCTTATATTTTCTTCTAAAGAATGCTTTGCCTTGAATTTAATACATTTCTTTAATTGTCTAATCAAGTAAATATTAGGTGCTCTCTAAGACTAATAGTCAATGAGGATATTCTTCTTTCCAAATACATCATTATATGATGGAGTTCTCATGATACTAGGGACTACATCTTTTTTGTTTTGTTTTTTGATGCAGGAGCTAAATCATTTCCGAATGCATCTTATGGATGGGTTGATGTTAGAGATGTTGCCAATGCACATATTCAAGCATTTGAAATACCTTCAGCTAGTGGAAGATATTGTGTTGTTAACGGAGTTGCACACTTCTCTGAGGTTGTGAAAATTTTGCATGAGCTTTATCCTGCACTAGATATTCCTGAGAAGTAAGTTTTTCTTTTATTTATTTATTTTTTTGCGTGCAGTTCAAGTTGTTAATTATTCCTTTAATAGATGCAAATGTGATTGCCTTATTAGCTATTATATATGTGGGCAAGTTACTTGTTATTACTTCGTTGGTCTTTCATTTCAATTGATGAGCTCTTTCTATCCAGTTTCCCCATAATGAAAATATTCAATATTGTGCGTTGACATAAAAGAATGAAAATAATCATTTGGCTTACCCATGACCAAGGTAGAGGCCATATATATGTAATAAATTCATGATACAATTTAGGAAACAATACTAAATCAGTAATTGACACAATCACAGATTATATACATAATACTAAAAATAAAAAGATTCTATTTACTCTAATTTTTATATTCAACACTCCCCTTAAGCTGGTGTAAAGATATTCAACAATCGTAACTTGCCAATGGATGACTGGAAGAAACCAGAAAAAACTCAACGGCTAGTCCAAATAAATGCTACTGAACAAATCTAGTAGTGCACTACATAAAAAAGACCAAAAAAGTGCTTAATACATCAACACCACACCCTAGAAAGGGAAAAAAAAAACAAGGACTGAACTACCCTAGAGGAGCTGCTGAAGCATCTATGGCTAGGAAACACCCTGGTTAGCAGCCAACAAGACCCTGGTTGGCATCAGAGGCCGGAGTTAATACTGGTAGATAATTTATGGTCATACCAGACCGTTGTAGAAACTGGTCGGAACTAATGTCGAGATAGTTTACGGGGTCATGCCGGACCATTGTAGGAACTAACCGGAATCAATGTCGAGACAGTTTAAGGGGGTCAATGCCTAACTGATGTAGAGAACTAGATGTTGTACCAGCAAGCGTGGCACACACATAACTTATGACATGGTGCTGAACGATAATGGCAACAGATGACTGAGCGCACCAAGGAAGCGACTTGGGTTGTGCGCTAGAGGGGACGACTTGGGTTATGCACTAGATGGGGCGGCTTGGGTGGTTCACATGGTATATCACCATGCCCACCATGATATAGAGAGAGAGATCACCACGAAGTGATACTGAAAGAAAATATGGTAGTGGAATGGGTTGAGGTCCAGCGGGCAGCTATGAAGCACGGACACGGATACGGACACAGACACGGGACACGGCAATTTTCAAAAAATGGGGACACGGACACGGACACGGCGGGGGACACGGCGAATTTTGTTTTATTTATTTTTATGTGTTATGTAGATTCATATTACGTTCATCTTAAATTAAAATTAACAAACACTAACATAGTAACATTAATTGAATAAACATAACCATTACATTTTAACAAATTAATATATCATCCATTCACAAAAAAGTCATAATAAACGATAATAAGAACTAAGACGAGAAGGGGAAAACATTCAACATCTAACAATATTTTTCACAAAAGCACTAAATAAGAGAGGCAAAAGATTAAAAAAAAAAAAAAGCCCTGTTGTGTCCCATGCCGTGTCCCATGCTGTGTCCCCATATGGACACGCGTGTCCCCGCCGTGTCCCATGCCGTGTCCCCATATGGACACGCGTGTCCCCGCCGTGTCCCTGCCGTGTCCCCTATAAAAAAATCATTAAATTAAAGGGACACGCCATTTGGCGTGTCCCGTACGTATCCCCGTGTCCCCGTGTCCTCGTGTCGAACACCGCCACGGCACTGATTTTGGAGTGTCCATGCTTCATAGGCGGGCAGCCAAGGCAAGGCTACCGCCCTTCGGTAAAGCAAAATTACTAGGTACTTAACCTAACTCTGATACCAAAAAGAATGAAAAGAATTATTTGGCTTATCCATGAATGAGGTAGAGGTCATGTATATATAATAGATTCATGATACAATTTGGGAAACGATATAAATAAGAAAATAATACTAAATCAATAATTGACGCAATCACAGATTATATACATAATACTAAAAATAAAAAGATTTTATGCACTCTAATTTTTGTATTCAACAGACACTTGGCCTCGTTTGGAAACATGCTATTTTAGTAACTTTTTGGCTAAAATACGAGGTAAAAAAAAAGGCTCCGCTTGGTTTAGTTTTGAAAATCAATCTTGGAAGATAGTTTTTTTGAAAGAGTTACAAAATTTGAAAACTTGTTTGTTTGTATCTTTTGAAAGTAGTTTTGGAATGATTCATAATTTATTTATTTATTTATTTATTTTTGTAGTTGAATAGATAGGTGTGGAAGAAAAATTGATTGATTGATGTGTAGAATTTGAGAAGAAGAGAGAAGAGAGAAAAAAATTGATTAATTGATGTGTAGAATGTGAGAGGAGAGAGGAGAGAGAAAACAATTTTTCAAAAAGTTGTAAACCAAACAAGTTTTTTGGATTTTTCATTTCAAAAATTGATTTTAAAATGTAGCCAAACATATAGTATGTTTGGGATGACTTTTTAACTTTTTAGAAAAAGATGTGCAAAAAGTAAAAAAAAAAATAGAATCTTTAACTTTTAGTATAAATTGTTGGCTTTTTGACTTTGTTAGTGACTTTTGGGTTTTTAGGCCAAAATTGAATGTTGCCAAAGGAAGGTAATATAATACATAGCATCCTCACAAGAGAATGTGTATTTTGGAATTTCAGACAGCGCATGCTTCAACATTAACTAATCATGTTTAGGACTAATTTAAGTCTTAATTTATTTTTTGTTTGCCACTGGACACACACACACACATGTTACACTGAGTTTTAAAAGTTAAGGAGAGTATTAATTTTTAATTATTGTTGCACACGGTTCATGGTGTTATTTTAGAAAAAGTTATATTATCAGGTCATTTATATGTGATTTTTAATGAGTCTAGTATAGTTTACTAGTTGAAGGGCCAAATGCTTCTATTTTTAAGTCTTATATTCTTGAATTAGGAAAACCCCGGTATTATAAGTATCCATCCATCTGGTGTTTCTATTCAACAAAGTACAATGATTAGAATTTGAGTTTGGATAATGTGTAATTTTGGTTGACATTTTTGTTTGGTTGAAGCTTTTCTACTTCTCCTTCTCATTTGGTGTGGGATGTCTCTCATTGAGGTGTTAGTAGAATTGTTTCTAGTTAATGTTTGTGGCTTCAACCATCCCTTCTACCAAAAAAGAAGTTTGTAAAATTGCTTATCTTGTTATTGAGTGTTGATTTTCATTTTCAAGTAGAGCATATTTATCTCAAAATTTTCAAATTCAAGAATTCAGTACTTACATATTCCAACGCTGAATATCAATTTTAAAAATTTAAGATACGTAATTATTAGTTTTGTCAAACATTCCCCAAGTCTATATTTTTGTGTTCCCATCCTTCTATGAATATCTTTGATTTACAAGAAATTCCAATCGTCAATTTTGTAATCCTGTTATGTAATACTTCAAAAGAGAGATCAATGTGAAAGCAATATCAAAATTTTGAATCCTCTAATAATACAAAGTTTAAAACATGCACATCATACTAACATTACAAACATATCAACATTGATATTTTATGGTAAACAAAATGATGTAGACCATGCTAAAAAAAAAAAGTGAAAGTTCAGATGAACACGTTTATAATTAATTTGATCTTAGCTTTATGTTTCTTTAAGTTAGCATGTTGTTGGACATATTTGTTTATGTTTTAGTAGCCAAAGGTAGGTAGGTAAGTTTTAGATATACTGAACATGGATTATAGTATGGGTATTAATTATTCAAGTCGTATTATAAGGTCATTGGACGTGCTTTTGTTAGGTTTAGAATAGTGTAGTAGTCAAAAGAGTCAATTTGTTTTGTATGCTTCGGCTTTAGTGCTAGTAAAATAACGAAAAGTTAAGCAACCTATAGATGTCTATGTAGTGTGTACTATTCAATGGATTTGACATTATGAGAACTTGAGTTTGTGTTTATAATATGTTGTTTAACCCTTGCAAGCATTAAACTCTTATAAAGTTGCAAAAGTACTATTACTGTAGTGCTGTCAAACAACCTATATTTCGAGGGGAATTACAAAAACATGGGACTTTTGCAAAATAATTGCACTTTAAATGGAATCTTTTTCGTGCAAGTCGTCCTTGTGTTTGGTGCAAGTGTTATTTCCGAAATTGCAAAAATAATGTTTACACCAATGCTTGCACTGAAAAGATTCCCATGAAATTGCAATTACTCTCATTCTTCCACTGATTTGCAATTTGCCCATATTTTCAATCTCAACAACTTTTACATTCAAGCCCAATCATCCCTAGCCCTTCGTCGTGTTTTGGCTTTTGATTTCACAAATATACCATACACAGATACTGGCAAAAGTTTCTAGCAAGTATCTGTCTGAAAATACCACAACCAAATGCCATTTAATTTTTTTATATCAAGCTAATTCTAATTCATGTCAATATAAAGTTGTAGAAGCTTTCTTTTACCCTACAGAGCCCTAAGCCTATAAGCTTTTTGATGAAGAGCATCAGAAGAAGAAAAAAGGCAATCTAAAATTTCACATCAAGTATGCTTAGGATATCATGGAGTGAAGTTTTGAAACAATTTTAAGTCTTTACTTGTGTTTATTTAGTTTAGTATGTTGTTGGACAGATTTTATGTCGTGATATTAAGTTTTAGTAGGTAGGGGTATTTTGGAAATTTTGTCGCTAGATGTGAGCTGTAGGAGTCAACCATAGGTCTTTTATGGTCTCTTTATGAGGTCTAGAATATTCTAGTTGGTCAAAGTTTCTTGACTTCTAATTATGGAATTATAGTCCTTATAGGAATAGGAAGTCTAGCAGTCTATAAATATGCATATAGTGTTTTCTTCAATAGAGAGTTGAGATATTAAAATTTGAGATTCTATTTGTGTTTGTATGAATTTGCCTTACCCTTGCAAGGATGAAATACCTATTTCCTTCTCTTCTTCTTTGCAAGCATACCCAAGTACTATTCTAAGGTTTCATAGCCATAGAACAGCACCCCTTTTATCCCCTAAACCCTAGCAAATCAAGTTCAAATTGTCCCTAACCTTCTCCCCTACCAATTAGCCACTAATTCCACACTAAAACATCATAAAATAGGTGTTACCCAAAACTATAACTAATTTAAAAATCCTACAGCCAGTAACTTTTGATTTAAAGCCAAAACTATCACTTTACATCTAGAAACCCTAGAAAATTTCCTCTCCCTCACAAAACCGCTAAGAAGCACAAACACTTCTAAGGAGGTGGAGTGTCATGTTGAACACTAATACAACATGACACTTGTCAGACACTTTTCAACACCTTTCGGATATATGTCCAAGATTGTATTATAATTTATAAAAAAAATTCTAGGCTTGAACACGCTTTAGCATGTATTATAGTTTTGTTTTTTGTTTTTTTCTCTTTCCTTCATTTCTACCACTTTCATCCTATGAAGCAAGGATACTTAAAACAGGGAGACGTATTCGTATCGTATCCGTGTGGGATACCGATATTCCTTGGATATTCGTGGATTTGTATCAGATACTTATTAAAAGTATCGGATAATTCTTAATTAATTTTTCATTAATTTTGGAGTATAGGATACTTAATTTTGAAGTATCGGATACTCCAAGTCACATATTACTTCTTTTACGAAATTATAATTGTAGAATTTCTTGCATAGCATTCTAATATAATACAATTGCAAGGATAAATACAAGAATATTTTTTCTAATACTTTGTTTAGTTCTTTATTAAGAAGAATATAGTGAATTAAAGTAATATAATTTGTCAAATTAATATATCCTTATTGTTTCATACATGTCCCCTATATAGAAAGCTCATTAACAAGAAAATATAACAATAGTAAAATTATATATTAATAAATACAGCATTTTTTACTACTGCCAAAGGGAAAAGCACAAGAACAAATTGTGGATTATTCTATTATTCTAATATCAATATATTAGATTTCATATTGAAATGAAATATTTGCAAGACCTATTGAAAATTTAAAAAGTAAACAAGTTGATGGCTTAAATTAATACCTAATTTTTAAAGGTTGGTATTTTGCATTATAAAATTAAAGTGTGGTTTTTTGAGTATATGTGTAGCTCACTACTAATAATTTTTAAAAAATATTTTTTACAAACGTATATTAGCCACATCCATATTTTTTTTTTTTAATAGGTTTTGTTGTAACGCCATATCTGTATCGTATGGTATCCGTATCCGTATCCGTATCCGTATCTATGCTTCCTAGCGTTCATCCTAAACAAACTCAGCCTTAAGGAACTTTTAGAATTCAAAAAATTATTATTTGCCACCACACAAACAAGATACATAAATTTGATATTTTTCTTTGATCCCATTTACCTTGAACTAAATTTCTAATTTATTACATCTTATCAAAGAATTTTATACAATATGTAATATATATAAATGCTTGAGACGCGTCCCTATACCCAGATACCCATACCCATACCCATACCCAACTTTTGGGTGCATATCCCAATATCCTAAAATTTAGGTTTAGGAAGATCCGACTCTTTGACATGCACCCACACAAGGGCTGACCTAGGGCTGGCCATAGGTGGCTGTAGCCTAGCCCAAAATTTAAAAAATTTGTAGAATTTTTTTTCCCCAAGCCACCCAACCTAGCCACCCAGCCCAACCTAGCCCCAAATAAGGGCCAATAGTTTTTTTGTTTGTTTTTTAGATAGACAGCCCAATGGCAGCCCAATACTTAACCCCAAAAAATAGATAGGCAGCCTAATAGATTTGTATTTGTTTAAAGAACAAATCTTCTAAAACAATACTCACATCTTCCAATAGATTGGCAACAGCCCTCTCTTTGTCGTCTCCAGCAGCCTGCAGCAACTCCACTTTTCTAACATTTTTTGTAAGTGTAATTAACCAATTATTTTATTTCATTGGTTGAGAATGGATTTGATTAACAATGGTTTTGAAATTTTGTCTTTATGCAACAAATGTTATGTTGCTCTTAGTTCTATATTGCTCTTAGTTTTTGAATTTTGAAGGAGTTTTCTTGGACTTATATGATATATAAAAATAATGAAAGCCTAAATAAAAATTATTGAGGACATATATAAAAACCCTAATATTTAAAATTATTGCGAATATACTTTGGTTTAATATTAAATAGGGCTATTTTTTTTTTTTTTTAAATTAGGTTATAAATAATGGAACCTCCACCACTCAAAAAAGGAAAAACCCTTTTCTCATTCTATCAATCAAAACAGAAGTCTAGTAGTACAACATCTAATATTGTTGAAACCTCATTTTTTGATGTGCAACCGCCTTTCACACCTCAAGCAGATAAACCAAGCAAATTTGATTCAATTGTTATTGAAAATTGATCTAGATTCTATAATCGATGAATTCGAATTTTTAAAGACTCGTCGAGCACAACTTAGTTAAATTGTTTCTAATCAATAAATTTAGATATTAATCTAGATAGTATTATTAAATTCTCTTTTTTCTTATATGGTTATACTTAAAATATATTGTATAATTTTACCTTAATATTAGCCCACCCCATTGACAAATCCCGGGTCCGCCCTTGCACCCACCCACACCCAATATTTGTGCCCGTGTCCATATAACATAGGACAAAATTATAAATAGAGCAACCAGTTTTTATTATAAAACTTCTTTAAGATACTTGTCTGGTACCCTAGCTTTCTAAGAATTCCAAAGAAGGTCCTCTACATTTGCTATGACGCACTTAAGGTTTAGTGCATACTAACATCATTAGCTTGGAAGGCTAGGGGATGTATGCGACATCGATTCAACATTTTTAGCATCTCTAATTTAAAACAGAATAAGAAACTTTGGCTAATTTTACAGTTCCAAATATCAAGTGGGATCATACTAAGTGTTTTCTTTTCTCACATTCACTAAAGTTCTATCTCACAATATATTATTGGAATTTGGATGCAGAAAGTACTATGGTTGAAAAGCAACTTTTATCATTTCTCTAACTGAACCCTCATGGCTATTAAGGCCAAAAAAACAAAAACAGAAAAGAATGTCCATGCCACTTTTAACCCATTGCTTGGTATTTCATGTATCAGCAGTCACAGACATGAGTAGAAATTTGTATTTCTAACCTAAATTTCAAGAGCTAATGGAAGAGTCTGAATTGGTCCAAAGGATTTTATGGTCTTAAATGTAATATGATTTATGGATGTTTTCACCAGTAAAACACATGCTCTAGATTCTTCATTATCAATTTGAACTGGATGTGAAGCACAATTAATGCTTATTTTTTATCCAGTTTTCTAAGGTAAATTTTCATTGATACTGCTTAAGCTTACCAAAGTTGACAATATACTTTCACCCTTGGAGTGCAAGCAGGTTTCAGTAGTGATATATACTAGTACTTGATTTCAAGCCCTAACCATGTTGCAATGCCCTATTTTGTATATGCATTTGCATTGCTTAATAGTTTCTCAACTGTATTGTGGAATCTTCACACCACATACTTTCTATCCATTGCAGATGTGAAAATGACGCACCATTTCAGATGGGCAACATTGTAGTAAATGAGAAGGCAAAAGGTTTGGGCATTGAGTTCACTCCATTAGAGGTGACCCTAAAGGATACTGTTGAAAGCCTGAAGGAGAAAAACTTTGTTGCTCTTTGAATCATAGTATTGAGTAGCAAGACAAGCAAACAAATATGAAAGGATTATGTTCTATCCTATAGTGTTCTGGTTTTGAATTCCATATATGCTGGTCATTTGCTAGTACTGTCTTGTCCTCTTGTAATGCATAATTTAGCACTGGCAAAAACATCGTACATGTCAGCGACTTGTGCTTTGTAAATTTGTTTCTATATTTGATTATTTGAGAAAAAATGTTGTGCATTAATTTCCCTTCATTGGTTTCATGCAAATGAATTTCGTGAAGTTGCCAATTGCAGTTGTAAGTGGAAATATTGGCATGTATTGATTAAATATATGGCAATTGGATCTGATGGGAGTTTTTTTATTGGGTTATTTGTTATTGGAAAGCTTCATCACTTGTAACATTTCTTGAAAGATTAGACCTCGACCTTCCCTTTGAGTATTCACCCAAAAAAGACTTTACCTTTGATTATTTAAAGAGTAATGTTGTTAACACCCCACTTATTACTTTGGACTCCCTAATTTTTAACTTTTTTTTATTATGATAATAACCTCAAATGAAAATACTAAAAGTGGACATCAATTATTTTGAGACACCCCATCTCACAATCAAGTTCGCACACCCACTTAATCATAAGTTAGGGTTTATGAGAGCACCAACCTCTATCACCACCCACACATTTGAAAACCTTCCAAACTTACCCACCCTCAAAACCTTGAGAACTCTCCATTGGCAATAGTGGCAACCATTCGATTATATACACTTCTCCGACATTGTCAACCTTGAGAACCCTTCAGCAGCAACAGCGGCAACCACTCGATTATACACACTTCTCCGGCAATGATAAGAAGTGGAAGTTTTTTCGCAAACCACAATTCCATGAGATGAATAGAGTGCAACAATATAAGCTCAACGGAGGTTCATAGTTTGGATATTGTTCGCAGCTCGGAGAAGGTTAACCTTGTAATAGTAAGTTTCTTCAAAAACATAGACAAAAATGGTGAAAACAGTTTGACTTCAAAAATACGCACGAGTTTAGGTTTTTCAATGTTCGGGAACACAGGGTTGAACATCAGTCATTTGTACAGCAACATAGGCTTGGACATAGGTTATTTGTTTGGGAACACTAGTCCGAACAAGAGAATTTCTTAAAGTTTGATGGGTCAAACTTGTGCACATACGCAGGAGTTCACGTTTTCTAAGTTTTAGGAACACAAGGCCGAACATCAGTCATTTGTTCGGCAACACAGGCCCGAACATAGGCTATTTGTTCGGGAACACAAGTCTGAATAAGGAAATTTCTTAAAGTTTGATGGATCAAGAGAGAGAAAGATATTGCCGTAAAGCTTGTGAAGATGAGTTTTAGATCAACAAAGAAACTCCTCTTCACTTGCAAAACTTGTCTTTCTTCCTATGAGATTCACTGTGAGAGAGAGCGACAATGATACCATTGTGAGAGTGAGAAACGTGATCGACGAGGAGATTTCCAAGGTGAAGTTCAAATTTGAACTTTTAGGGGTTTTGGAGATGAATGGTTTTTGAGGGTGTGTTGAGAGATGTGCATTTTAGTGGGTGTGAAATTTTTAGAAGGATAATTTTGGCATTATTTAGGTGGAGGAAAGAAGTTTTAAGGGTTTTGAAATTTATAAGTAGGGATCTAAAGAAATGGAGGGTCTAAAGTAATAAGTAGAGTGCTAATAACAGCACTCTATTTAAATGTTGGCAAGTTGATAATTTCATTGAAGATCTCTTTCTTGGAACTAGATCAAGAGCAATACATTGGACTGAGCACACATTTAAGGTGAGAAAGACATGAAAGGGAGACACTAATGACAGTATCAATTGCTGCAGCCTGCTTGTGTCACTTTTGTATGCATGGTATATTCTATGGCCTTGTTCATTTTTACAGAGGCCAGTCCAGCTTTGTCTATAGCATTGTTCATTATGTCCCTGGTCTTAGGGTTTCCATGACAAAAAGGTCCTTAAAACTTCTTCCTAATGTTTTGATCACAAATAATTTTTACACCTTACAACAAAATGAAAGCTCATATTTCATTAGGCAGTATGGTGCTCATTCCACAATAATACAATAAATAAAACATGAAATGAAGAAAGCAAATCTTTTAAGGATATGAAACCCAATTCATGTCAACAAAACCATCATTAATTACTTTAGGACACAGCATTTGTAAAATTTTATTTCTATTGTGTTAGGTTAAAACTGAGATATACTAAAGTAAAGAGATCAGGAAAGCGTCATGTGTTTGTATCCAAAGATAACAATAGAATCAGTATGGACACTGCAAAAAATAATTTCCTACTTCTCTAATTTTACATTTTACATAGATCACGAGAATTCTATATTCACTGTGGCATTCTTCTTTAAGCTATTGCCGCACTTACCTTGACGATCAACTCTTGACAGATGCTCCAATGGTTGTCGGGTGCATTAGGTAAGGTTGAGGAACATATCCCTCTTTTCTCATCTCTAGAAGAAGATTCTTCAACAATAGATATATATTGGCAGACCGAGGGTGGCTTTTGTCTTCGGCAACAAACATATGGGTAGCATTGTTCAGCTCAATCCAGCTATAACCAGGTACCTTCTGCACACCTCTATCCTTCATCATGCTTCGTGTTTTGAGGACACTCTCCCACTTTCCAGCATTAGCTTGTAGATTTGATAGCAATACATAGTAGCCTGAATTTTGTGGGTCCAATTCAAAAAGGTGTCTCGAAGCCAGTTCAGCAAGCTCAACATTACCATGAACCCGACACGCTCCAAGAAGTGTCCCCCAAACACCCGCATCTGGATCAAAGGGCATGCTCGATATGATCTTAAATGCTTCGTCTAAACGACCAGCTCGCCCAAACAAATCAACCATACATGCATAGTGCTCTAACCGAGCTTCAATTCCGTACTCCTCGGTCATGCACTCGAAGTAGCTTTTTCCTTCATCGACTTGGCCAGCATGACCACAAGCAGATATTATGGCTAGAAAAGTGACATGGTCGGGCTGAAACCCTTCTTTCATCATTTCATGGAATAGATCAAGAGACTCCTTCAGGTGACCATGATTCCCATAAGCAGCAATGATACTATTCCACGAAACTTCATTCTTCCCTTTCATCGTCTCAAAAGCACAGCGTGCTAGGTCCAAGTTTCCACATTTAGCATACATGTCTATTAGCGCACTTTCAGCGAAAAGATCAGAGGTTAACACACCTCTTATCATGAAACCATGAATCTCTTTTCCATAGCGGAGTGCTGGTACATTCGCACAAGCAGAAAGTGCAGCCGATATGCTGACAGCGTCATATTTAACTCCTTCTATACCCATTTGGCGGAAAAGATCAATGGCCTCTTCAGGTTTGCCATTCTGGGAACAGCTCGTGATAATTGAGTTCCAACAAACATCGTCCTTTTCTTCTGTTCTTGTGAAAATTTTGTGAGCGAAATCAAGTCTTCCACATTTTGCATACATATCTGTGATAGCACTTCTCACATAACACCTTGCCTCTAAGCTGTTCTTGAGGATGTAACAATGTAACTCTTTACCCAGCTTCAGAGCAGCCAAACCAGAACAAGCAGGTATAACACTTGCCAGAGTAACTGCATTGGGTCTCATTTGCTCATGAAGCAACAACCGGAATATTTTTAAAGCATCCATATTCATTCCATTAAGCACATACCCTGAAATCATCGCCGAGCAAATTACAATATCTATTGCAGTGCCATGGTTGAAAACATTGCATGCCATCTTCACATCCCTGCACTTGAAGTATATATCAATAAGTGCACTCTTCAAAAACACATCCAAAGGCACACCATGCCTTACGATATAACCATGAATTTCCTTACCCATGTTTAAATTTGCTGATTCAGAAATCGATGGAAGAAAACTTGCAAAAGTGATTTTGTCCGGTTTGAAAGTAGAGGATATCATTTCACGAAACAAATCTGAAGCCTCACACATAAACCCATTTTGCACATACCCTCCAATCATCCCATTCCAAGTCACCATATCAGGTTGTGGCATAGCATCAAACAAATTGCGTGCATCAGATAAGCAACGGCATTTCGCATACATGGTAAGCAACGTGTTGGCCACCGGAGAATCCATCTCCAGGCCACATCTAACAACAAGCCCATGAAGCTGAGTACCAAATTTAATAATTCCTTCCGAGGCACAGACTGACAGAACACAAGCATATGTCACTGAATTAGGCCTAATTTCAGTGTTTCTCATTTCCAAAAACAACCCAATAACATTACCTGAGTCGGCATTTTTCACATAACCATTAAGCATTACATTCCACAAAACACTATCTCTCTCAGGCATTTTATCAAACAAGCAACGAGCATCATCAATACAACCATTATCAGAGTAAAATTTCATCAAAGAACTACCCACAAACACATCTGTCTCAAAACCCATCAACCAAATCATTTTATGAATCGATTTGGTCAAATGGACAGCATTCAAACCACCACAAGCCTTGAGTAAACAAGGAAAAGTGAATTTATCAGGACAACTTCCAAAACTCAACATCTTAAAGAAAAACAACAATGCAAATTCAAACCAACCCATCATAGTAAGCCCTCTAATCATCCAATTCCAAGGCGAGGCATATGACAAGTCAAGCTGATAAAACAAGTTATTGGCGTCTTTGAAGCGATCACAAAAAATATAGACACCCAAAACTTTTGTACCAACCAAACCCACATTGCAAAGTCCATTGACAATGATGTGGGCATGAACTTGTTGGCCATGTTTAAGCACAGAGTGGTCTGGACAAGCTAGCCCGATAGATTTCAGTTTGGCTGCAAAAGTGTCCTCAGTGTTTGGGGAGAACCCAAATGGTTTTGTTGTTGTTGTGTTAATGCTTGGGATTTTTGCTTGGATGGAAGAGTTGGAACCACCCAATAAAGCAATGTGTGAAAAAGTTCTGATAAATGTTGGAGATAGATGTTTGTGATACATTGTGACTAAAATAATGCATCTTTGTGCATTTTACATTGAATTCTCTTTCAAACAATGGCAATTAATAATCTTTTTACAGGCTTCCAATTCCAAAAACTGAGTTCAGACCAATAGGTGCAGCAATCGATGATCTCTGCTTCAAAAACAATGGCAATCTTTTCCTCAGCTTCAATGAACTGAGAGTTCCAACCGATCAGTTTTCTATTGTTTTTCCAGATCTTGAGCGAAGAAGATAACATGTTCTGATTTTTCAATTGATCACTTGACTTGTGATCTCCCAAAATTCACCAATTGTTTTATTTAATTTAATTTTAATTTTAAATTTAGATAAAAAGTTTGATGGGATATGAATAATCCTAATTATTTCATTGAATTTTTTTTCAATTTTTTTTTCACCTTTTAATTTTTTTTCCTTTAAAATTGATGAAAAAAGTTCATGTCCAATGTAATATTTTTTTAAATGGGTAAATTACATTTTGTCCTTTTATTTTTGATTATTTTTCTTATGTTAACACGGAAAGTTTGTTAGTTAGTTTTTTTTTTTTTTTTTTCATTTTGACTCTTCATATTTTAAATTTTTTCTAATTTACTTCTAAATTTAGCTTCTGTTTAACTATCGCATAATATAAAAAATATATATTATTATATTGATATTTGAATTTGTGCTAAAGATGTGAAGTATATAAAATACAATATTTTTATGCCATGTAACTTTCAATGTGTTATTTTATGTCTATTTTTTAACAAAAATTAATTTTAAGAGTAAATTAAAAAAAACTTGAATCATGAAAGGGCAACAAAAAAAAAAAAACTTTAAGAGCCAAAATAAAAAAGTTATCAAATATAAAAGAAACAAAATATAATTTATTCTTTTTTAGTTTTTGTCAAATTCAAATTTAATAAGTTGCAACTCGCTTACATGAAATCAGAATCGCTAGTAATCGCCGGTCAACCAGACGGTAGTGAATTCGTAAAGAAGGAAAGAAAATGCGAAAAGATTGAAGACGAACAAGTAGCTTAGTAATCATTTGTTTGGATTTATCAGTCATGTTGGTTGCCCAAGAAAATGCTTTGATGTATTACTGCCAAGAGTTTTGATTTTTTTATATATTTAGAAAAAATAATTTCCAAGGGTATTAAGTTGGGTGCCCTAATACAATCTAACTAACGCTTATTAGGTGAGTTCAAATTTTTTTCAAAACCACTAGGTTGAGTCACAACCTATAAGTTGGTTGATAATAATCGATTCATTGCATAAAGCTAAGATCATTTCTGATTTGCGATGCATGTCTCACACTCCCAAGAACAAAAAAAAAAAAAAATCAAAATCTAACACAACAGTTGGCGACTATGTTAGGAATATAGAGGCTTTCAACTTTTCATTTGCAAATCAATCTCCATCTTTGATCAACTAATTCTTTATCTTGTCTTACTAGCATTTTTGTTTTGTAGGTTGTCTTTTCCTTTTCATTTACTACTTTTTATTTATGAATGTTATAATGAAGAGTAATTATTGGGTGCTCCTAGAGCACGGCCACGTGGTGCTCCAAGAGTATTGTGATTAGTGAAGAAAGTGAAATTTATGCTTTTGTGTTGGGTGAAGAGATATAATATATGATGATTAGTGAAGAGTAGAAGCATGTGGCGTTCCAAGAGTATCCAATAATTTTTCTGTAATGAAAAGCTAATGAGAAGAATTACCCATGCAGGAGTGAATGTATGATAGGGTGAATGTATGTGCATGAGTGCAAATGCTAACATAAAATAGTCATTTTGGTGCATCCCCTTCCCTCGCTTTCATAAGCAAAATAAAATGAAGCATACACTTGACAATGGATGGAGCATGCTTGTTGATATATAAGTTCTTGGACAACTGCTTATCATCCTACTAAGTTAGAGAGGATATTTAAGTAGGGCTACCATCAAAGGCCTTAGTAAGTAAGGCTACCCATGAAAGGCCTTTGTTAGATACTGGTAATTCTAATTTTACTCTGCTCGAATCAACAACTTATGAATGTCGGTTGTAGGTTTGAAATTTTGGAAACTGAACCTTTTTAGGATTGCATTAGTCAACTCTAAAGCTCATATAGCATGTAGAATTTATTGAAGCGTTGGCCAAATCATGATACTGACTAGTACGTCTCGCCATGAATTTCAAAAACAAGCCAACCTTCTAGAGGAAGTGATACACCAATCACCTTACGGTCTCTTACTAACACCATTTTCCTGTTGCACCTCCCGCAAGGAAATAAATGGATCACAAGAAAGAAACCAAAAAAAGAATGGGAACTGAACAACTTGAGCAAGCCATCAGTTATAGTGAGCAAGCAACTTGTATTGCTAAAATAGCTAAGGCAACTTGAGCGGTTGGACTATGTATTTTGCTAATGTGTCTTGTTAAGATAAAAAAACACAACTAGATCATTTTCAAAAAACCATGGCAAAGGATCCTTATTTAGGGATGGTCACGGGTCGTGTTTGGAGAGGATTTGTAATAATCCACCCCCGCCCCGTTTCATGTCGTGTGCAAGGCAAAGCGGGGAGTGGCGGTAGCAGGGCGGGAGACAAGTTTTTCTACAAGTGGAAAAATAAAAATATTAATAAAAATTATAGTATATTATGAATAATAATTTATACTTAACAAGAATTATAACAAATCAAATAGAAAATAAATTATTAAAAATTAATATTAAGTATAATATTCTAGTATTTTAATTTTATTATAATGAAAAAAATAGATTATATATGTTACATATATTTGATAAATATAATTGGTGAGGGTCAAGTAGAACAGTCCCTGCCCCACTTCCTCAATAAGGCAGGAAAAACTTGTGCGGGGCAGCACAAGGCGGGAAAAGATGCACATCCCCGTCCTTATCCTTTATATGTTCCCATTATGAGTATAACATATTTTAGGTCCTATAAGCATGAAATTCTTATCAATTGAAAATGGAATGCTTTCATACTCAACATTCCACTACAAGGATAAGGTTTTGAAAGGATAAACAGAGATATTAATCCTGACTTTTCCAACATAGATTGTTCAAAATGTACCTTCACTGTTGATTAGTAAATTTCTCACACGTAAAGCTGAAGACTCAGTCCGCCAACACGGCCATGGCATTAATTGTCCGAAAAGTATCATCATGTCAGAAATTCAGCTCTAAAGTGAAATTCAAGTTAATTTGATTGCTTATACATGATGACAGTAAGAAAGATTACAAATCTTCCTGTTAATATATGAAACATATATATTATATGATATTATTCTTTGCAAATATTCTATTGTATCTCTTCCATATTTAGATTATAGGCTCCTCCCTATTAGGTATATTCAATCTGTACCTTATTCTTTCCTTTCTATAGCACTCCTACGTAGTGTTATATATATCCATAGCTTTGTATGGTTTAGTACATCAATTGAATACAATTCTCTCTCTTTTCTCTCTCTCTCTCTTATTTTGTCATATGATTATTCTGTTTTCATAGTATCAGAGCCAAGGGTGAAAGTCCTTGATCCTCTTTCTTAATTCTGGCAGTACACAAACACTGCCCGCACAATGTCTCTATTCTTCTAAACCTGCCCACTAACCAAAATTGTCGAAATCAACTCCTGAATACATCAAACTCCTTTCATTCTTAGGAGTGCAATGGTACAAAAACCAAGGAAAGCTGAAGCCTCACGCGCCCCCTCGCAGCGCCTAATCTTTCGCGCGTAATTCAACCCACAGCATGCACCAGCACGCGCCTCCTTAGCGCTCATGCATCCTTCTTCGCTGACGTCATCTCTAACGTCAACCCTACGTATGATACCCCTGAATTTTGTAAATTCCTTTAAGACCCTTACCTTTGGGTTATTTCAATGAAAACCCTTGATTCCTCGTTTACTTACAATTTTAACCCTATAATTGAGAATTCGTCATGATCAGAACCATGCGAACCTTAATCGATCCTGATAACTTATGAATCATTTCTAATACCCTAATAATAATTAATTAACTCCCTAATTATAGAATAGTTACTCAAAACCCTAGATTTTCAATTCTCATTAAGTTCGTTCGGCTGATCGTCTTTTAATTTAAAAAAACAAAAACAAAAAAAGTTAAACTGAATTGCTTTCCCTAACTCTAATTTAATTAAATTCCACACTTAAATAAATATTCTAATTAAGCCCAAGCCCTCACATTTTATTTTAATTGCACATCAACCGCAAATTAAGCCTAACCCTAATTAGTTCATGTTTTAATACACAATTAGGGCCCTAATCACCCCCTCATTCCATTAGATCCTAACTAAATCCAAGACTATTCAATTCATTTGAAATCAATGGGCATTTTGGACATTTTACAACAAAATTCCTATAAATACACCACTACCCTCCACACATTTGCACATCAAACACCACACACACACACACTCACATGGCATAGAGAGAGAGGAAGAGGAGAAGAAGAAAGAGCTTTGGTGGTGAAGGAGGGAAAATAGAAGAATTCTTGCACAACCTTTTCCATAGGCATTCAAGTAAGGCACAACACAACCCTCTCTTTATTTTCTCATTCAAATACATGATCTTAGAGGTTTAATGTATCATTTTCAGATGTGTATTCATAGTGTTCTTGTGTTTGAATAAAATAATTAGTCTTGTTTCTTTCCTTCATTGTATTTTCACTTAATGGAAGCAAAACTATCTTTTCTGCCCACTTCTCACATTATTTCCAAAGGCATACCTTCATTCTAAAAATCTGAGTTATTTATATACTACTTAGAATGTTTTAATCATAAGAGAAGTAGAACATTACTCCTAGCTGCCCTCTTTTTCTATTACTCTTCTTATTTCAAGCTTTGTGCAAGAAAAACTAGTATTTTAAGCCCACTTTCAACAATTCTAGAAAAATGCAGAAACATCCTCTTGATCTCATTTTTATGTAAAAACTTTCCTTAAAGTGTTATCTTTAAACGAAAAATGGTTTTATCAAAAAAGAGTGAGTGGTTTAAGAGAAAAATCCTATTTCCATAATAGTCAACGAATTTGGACAATGCTAGAGTATTTCTTTAATAACTAAAAATCTAGAAAAGCTATCCCATTTTCGAAAGATGATTTAGAGACTACATAAAATTCTCTACAAATATAGAAAGGCCGAGTTGGGAAAATCTAGAAATGTCTCTTAGATTGATATCTTTAAAGTGTGTCTAATTTGGAAATTTATGTTTGTTGATGATTTGATACTTTTAATTTCATGAATATGATTCTTATCTCTTGTTTGGGCCATAATATGATATTTAAAGTTTTGTGCCTATA